GCCCCATTATTTATTCGAACGCAATTTGAATGCCTGCCCTCTGCTCCAGCGTCCACATTTCTCCGCAGACCAAAATATCAATGCTACGACTCCTCATATTTGGGCAGCTATACATCGCTTAACCGCTCAAGTCTCCTCTACCATGCGCGGATGTGAGACCACTTCGCAATTAAGCCTTCCTAACACCCCTTTCCTCTTTTATTCATTTGAGCAAAATTTGCTGCCCGGCGTCTATGCTCCACGCCTATGGCTTTTATTCACATCTCTGTGCCCATTAGTTGCTGCTCTAGACTCCACTCAATATTCTCTGTCCGAACTTTAAGTTGAATTGAAATATCCAATAATGGAAGGCACCCGTTTTTTTTGGAAGAAAAAAAAGCTCGCAGAGCGACACGACCTAACCCTGAATCGAACAAGGATCTTCCGCATACACGACTCGCCAACGAATTATAACTCACGGACGCGACAACATTTTCGCCAGTAGGTCTTCCTTACACCTTGCACACCCTTACTTATTCGAGCGAAATTCGAATACCGACCCTCTGATTGAGTGCAGATTCTAATTCAACATCAGGAAACACGATTTTGCTTGATAGATGGAGCCCAAGTCAGGAGAGCGGGTAGCCCTAGTAGTGCCTCACTACGACCCAGTAGCATTTGGTAGCCGTGGTAGCTCTTACGCCGGTGATCAGTAGCGTGTGGTAGCCATCACCGACGGATCAGTAGCGGCCGATATCGAATTTCTCGAGATAAAATTCATTCAACCCGCCCAGTCCTTCTAAACATCCTGCATGACTTACATTCACCACTGCTAGCTTTGTCTGGCTCTGAGATAAAAAGTGTTTCTTATCTTCGTGTGGCGCAGAAGATTTGAAAATCTGCTAAGTCCATTTGAGACTCCGCAGACACGTGCCAGATTGCGTGATTGTTTGGACCAAACACGTCGTTGGTTGATCGTCTTTCTCTTCCTTTCCCCCACGACCTCTGCGTCGTCCCCGCCGTTGACGGCGTCCTCCGCACCCGTATCCTTCGATGTAATGCCTGGAGATTGCCACCATCACCACCAGTGGTCCACCACAACCTGCCCTCTTCCTCCAGACCCCACTCTTGGGCCGTCGTACTCACACCTGTCCTAGGATGCCAGCGCGCCTCTCCCCTGTGGCATCGTACCTCATAGGCCTTTGGCTAGCGCTGCAAGCCCATCGTCCTATCATCAACGTTCTATGCTCCCCTCTCCGTGCCCTGAGCTCCGTCAGGACCTGTCAAACTGCATTCGCGCACCCGCTGAAGCGTCCTCTCCCACAAGCCTCAAGACCTTGCAATTCCTCAATTTCAAACCCCATCCTAGCATTCTCTGGAGCCTTCCTCTCACTCAGATCCTCTCCCCTCCATTCTCAGTGTGCACTGTTCGTACTTGGAGTCAAGGTGTAGCGCGTTACCACTTAGTACCGTTTTAGTTCACGGATGGCGGTCTTCTCGGCCTGTTGGTACGTTCATTTGAATGACCGTTATCTTATATTCCACCTACTCACGTCTTTCTGCCATGTAGTTCCTTCGCAGCCGATGGCTCTGTGACAGTCAGCGTAGAGTGTGATTGTCATGTGCGTTCTTTCCGCTTGGCCTTCATAACCCCTCCTGATATTCGGATAGGACATTACGAACGCGGACTCTAGGCTCCGGGTGGCTCGAGACTCGAGTCTGTATCATGGAGGCGGCTAGAGGTTTTTTATCGAGTCGTGTTCTGTATTCTGTAGCGGATGAATCTATTTTATTCTATTCCATATATCGTATCTGGCAAATGATCAAATTTTATGAGCAGCTACAACAGATTTTGAGGCCTACCACCGGCTACTGACTGCTACCAAGCTCATCTGCCAAAGCTACCAGCTGCTACCAGGCTTTGGCGGGGCGCTACCAGCCGCTACCAAAGGGGGGACTTGTCTCTTTTGCTACTCCGGCTACTGGCACTACTGAGTGCAACCAAGACAAGTCACTTTTCCCTGATGAACCCCGAGGAAAGAACCGTTATATATTAGGTCTTCCATGCATCTCTTCACCCCACTACTTATTCAAGCGAATTTATATACCTGCCACCTCTGAATCTGACAGGACTACACTCACCTAAATCAGTATCTGCTCCCAGCGTACTTTGTGACTAAAGTGCCGCGGGAAGGCGTTTGTCGTCCATGAATGCCGGTCCAGGGTCAGTTGATCGGTTAGGCCGCCGGCCGAGATTTTGTTTTCTGGGATCCGCCATGTTGGAGGCTCCAATTTTTCTGAGATATATCCATACACTTTCAGTTGCGCGGCAGCCTGAGCCAAGGATGTACAAGACGCGGCCCGCATGCCTAATCGGGAAAGACGGCCCTTGGGATGAAACACGGCCAGAGCTTTGATGCCTAGTAGGAAGGCTGCACTTTTCTCCAAGGCCCTTTCCAGTTGGAGACTGCATGGGGCCTGCATATAAAGCAGTCCTCCATTTTCCTGCAACTTTCCTCCCTTCCCACCTCCATTGCCGCCCCATGTTGGAATCTCTCGTACGCCGCGATGCCGCATCATATCCTGATGGGCTTAGGCTCATATGCGGATCAACGGCACGGCTGGCCGCTGCGCTGTCGGGCACGGCATCTGCGGCATCGGAACTGCCGCTCTCTGCCGGTAAGCGGCCATCTCGTTGGTTTTGTCTTCTGCGGCCTTACTCGGGGTTTCCCCGTCTTTCTTAAGTACTGGAGAGCGCTATTAGTCATGTAATTACTATCATGGAATACATGCCTGCCCACTCTCCGCATAGACCGAGGCTTCGGCCGATCCCGAACCCTCGACTGCGCTATATAATAATGATATAGAACTCAGTGAGAACACCATTTTGCAGGGCAAGCGGCACCGCATGTCCATCTTTGAGATCGATGCGGCAGCATCCGAAAAACTTCGGCTCACAAAAAACACGTTCAGCAGACGGTGAAAATCCGGTGTTTTGCGCTTCCACGAACACAGAATTTGATTTTTTTGCCATTATTACAATCTTGTTAAATTCATGAGACTTCCCCATTGGCCGTGTTTTATCCCAAGGGCCGTGTTTCCCGATTAGACGTGCGGACCGCGTTTCGTCGATCCGCGAGTTGACCAGGGAATGCACGTGATAAGTTCCCTTACGGGAATATTATGGGATTTTTCAATTTGTCTCAAAACTCGACCAGCTCCTTCATCGACAGAACGACCGCGGTAACCCTTGGGCTACTCAAGGCGCCTACAGTAGCTGAACTGGACGCCCCTTCACACTTTCTCCCGATATGGCTACATTTGCTGTTGACCGTCACACTAAGGTAACCTCCCCTATTCAACCCCTATTGCCTATTTGCCTTTCTGCGAGTGCGTCGTGCTCAACATGTCCATTGTCCTAGGGGATAACATACTACAAACGTGGTGAATACAAGGAGGCGCTGATGGAATTCTGGGCGGCAATCGACTTCTCCGAGGATGGAGCTACACCCGCCCAGTATTTCAGTAATCTCGCAGCGACCTACCTCAAGCTCGACTATTGCGTTCTGTCCTCTCGAGCACTAACCGTCACTCATGTACCGCCTCAGCTACGAAGGCGCGAGAGCCGCGGCACATAATGCTCTCCTGCGCGATCCAAGCTTGAAGAACGCGAGATTCTGGAGGGGGGTGGCCTATCAGGGCCTGGGACGTCTGCCTGAATCCATCCTCGACCTGTATTCCATTCTCACGACTGATCCCAACCACTCCAAGGCACGGCCGGCACTCATGGACGCCTTGGAGCGGTATAACTTCTCGGAGAGAGTCACCTTGAGCCCGGCCACCATCATGGAAATCGATACTCCTCCCGCGCACAGCTCGAGTTTGCGCCCCGAGCTTCGACAAGCGGCCCCGTCTATCCTGCGACCAGCTCCATCTAACCTGGGGACCACCATCCTGCCGCAGTCGGCAGAAGCTCTGTTTGAAACCACCATGGTCTGTGGTGCATGTGGCGTCGCCCACCGTCGCAAGAACGTCAAAACCTGCGCGAAGGTGAGCTCCCGTTCGATTCCGCAACATCGATACTGAAACTTGCCCAAGTGCAAAACTGTGGCGTACTGCAACGTCAACTGTCAACGGTCAGATTGGTATGCCTTCTTTTCTCGCAGGACATTCACGGTCTCATTATGTTATATCAGGCCTCAGCACAAAAAAATCTGTGCTACCGCTGGTGCCGATTCAACGCTTCTCGGTTTGTCGGACAGGCTCCTCCGGCGACCATACGTACAGGACATCCTTGAACACTATGCAATGATATCTCAGGGTCTTCTGTCTTCGACGCCCCCTGCATGCCCTGCGATGCTGATAATCCACGTTGGATTGTCATCTCTACCAGCCGGGGGCCGGTTCAGCAGTCGGTTATGCATCCAGCAGATCAGCACCGTGCCCGTCGTCCTCCTGGAAGATAACGTAGTGCGAGAATATGATGCTAGCCGCAGAAAGTTGCTTTTCGCCATACCCGACGCGCGCCCCATCGGCATGAGGGTACATCCCAATAGCGGCCGTCCGGCGGCGGACGGTTTTGGTCAAATCGCTGTGACGTCTGCTCGTCCAACGACAATCGAGAAGGCAAGCCAGCCGGGATTTAAACTCCCCGTGCACAGCGTGTCCACCGCACAGGACCAGCTCATCCCGATGGACCTTGATAGCCTCTTTCAGTATGTGCACCAGTCAGTGGGGGTAAATCTAGCTGACCTCTGGTTCTTTAGTGCTCTCGAAGCCGAAATCCAAGATGATACGGACAATTATTATCAGCTTAGGCAGTAAGATCGAAATACAAATAGAGTATTCCGACCCATATTTCCAAGTATTATATGGCGCGAAAACGTGTATATTCTCTCTTTCTGACTCCGCAACTTGCTTTTTGGTGACCAAAATTTTGGCGCTACAACAATTGAGAGAAGCCGACGGGGGGCAGACCGGAGTCCCACATAGATAATGATACACGGCCATTCAAAGCAAATGGACCCAACCCCGAATCGAACAGGAAACTTCCGCATACACCACTACATTGTATTCTAATGAAATACGGACGCGATACCACCTCGCAATTAGGTCTTCCTACCCCTTCTGCACCTCGTTATTTATTCCAGGTAAATTTGCGTGCCCACCCTCAGCTGATGGTTGATCAACATTTCAATCTAGTAATTGACTCGGGGGAGTCCCGATCAAAGAACAACCATTGCTTATACTTATACAGTTCTTGACTGAACTCCATGATTATCCGCCCGAGCTTGGAACCTTCAACGTTCAAGCACTGAGCTAGAAAAAAGAAATCGAATATCTACATGACCTAATCCCGAATCGAACAGGGAACTTCCGCATATGCACACATTCATTTATTCCAATGACAGACGCGAGACCACCTCGCAATTAGGTCTGCCTAGCAACACCCCTTCCCCCTGTTATTTGTTGTGGCGAAAGTTGAATGCCGCCCTCGACTTTATACTCCACGTAATTCACCCCACTGGCACCCAGCAGAACAACCAACCCTCCGACTACTTATACTTGTACTTCTTAACTCAACTCCCCACTATCCACGCGACTTCGGAATATTGACATCATTGGAGGGCGGCAGGATAAAAAATGAAATTGAACCCGCGTCATGATCTAACCTCGAACCTTCCACATACCCATTTTTATTTTCCTTACAATGAGGCACGGACGCGAGACCACCCCACAATTAGGTCTTTCCTTATGCCCCTTCGCCGAGCTATTTATTAGAGCAAGATGTGAACCGGAGGACAGGCGCCAGTTTTTTAAAAAAAAGTGCGTTGATAGTCCGCTATGACCTAACCCCGAATCGAACGAGGGACTTCCAGAGAATCTACTGCATGCTACTCATGAAGCCTGGAAGTGATACCATTTCACCATTAGGCCTTCATAGTAGCACTTCCCTCCCCGTATAGCTCAGCATCAAATTCATTCCCCGCTCAGGGACAGAATAAATAAATAAAAAATGTTGGTGGACGCCGATCATAACCCAACCCCGAATCGAACAGGGATCTTCCGCCTGCAGCACTTTACTATTCTATGAAGCACGGACGTGAACCATTCACCATTAGGTCTTCCTTATACCCCTTCTCTCCTCAATTTACTCCACTGCCTCCCTCTAAATCCCCACCACGAAAAAAGAAAAGGTGAAGCAAAACACAAAATAAATTCGTACACCCTAAAACTATACACAGATAATGTACATACATACAGATATACACAAGACTAGGACTAAAGCTACTTGCTACGCATTATGAGCTACGAACGAACTAGACGGGACAGAGGGACGGACGGAGGAGTGAGTCAAGACAAATACAGGTAAGTATGCAGTGGAGGAAAGGAGCTCGAAGGAAAACGGAAGAGATGTGAGAAAAGGATGACGACCCAGAGCAGAAAAAAAATGAGCAAAAGCGGAATCAGTATCGGCGTCCAATTCGGCGCGGGGGCGCGGCTACCCCCCGTCCCCCTCCCCCTCCCCCTCCCCCTCCTCTTCTTCCGTTTCTTCTCCCTCCTCCTCATGCGCTCCCTCACCCTCACCCTCGCCCGCCTCCTCCTCCTCCTCCTCTTCCTGTGCATACTGCGCCTGAGCCTGCGCTTGCTGAGACAGAGATGACGACCCCTGCTGCGCCCCTGGATACGCCAACCACCCGCCCGGCCCCGGCGACGACGACGGCGAGGGCGCGTAGTACCACGGGTACGCGCTCTGCGGGTAGTACTGAGCTTGCGTCTGCTGCTGTTGTCCACTCCCTGCATGCGTCTGCATCTGCTGCGTAGCTTGGGCCTGCTGCTGCTGCTGACTCGGAGAAGCGCTTGTCGACTGTGCACCAGAGCCCGCCGCGCCGTAGAACGCCGGCGCATACATCGCCGCCGCGGCCGCCGCGAGCGAGCTCGAGCCGTACTGCGCCTGTGCCTGCGTCGGCTGCGGGGCGTGCGTCTGCCCCACTCCGTTCCCCATCTGCGTCTGCTGCATCTGCTGCTGCCCCGCTCCCTGCCCCACGAACGGCACCGCACGACTGTGCGGCCGCGGCTGCGGCTGCGCCACCATCCCCATCTGCGGCTGCGGCGGCGAGCGACTCTGCTGCTGTTGTATCGTCGTCGTCGTCCCCGGAGGCGGCCCCACCCGCGGCGCCCTCGCCGGCTCCTCCGTGTTCTGCCCCGCAAACCCAAGCGGCTTCGCGAAGAGCGGGTGCGCCGCGATGTACGCGCCCATGCTCACCGGCGGGCCGAGCGTCTGCTTCTGGCCGCCCTCCATGCCCCGACCCTGTGTCTGTGGCATCCCCGCGTGCGGCGTCTGCGCTATCCCCGCCGCCTGGTTCGGCGGCGACACGGACGCGGACGCGCTGGAGCTCGATCCTGATCCTGATGACGACGCCGACGCAACGGGATGGGAGGCAGACGTGGAGGCGACGGGCCCAGAGGCGACCCCATTGCGCGCGCGCTTCGCCGGCGGCGCCCCCGCCCCCGCGCCCTCCGCGCGTCTCGGGCGTTTGCGCGCGGGGGGCGCGATGTCGCTGCTAAGTATGGACACGGCGGGCGCGGCGGTGGTAGTGCTATCGGCGCCCACTGTGTCGGTGTCGATGCGGGGGAAGGCCGTCGGCCCGGCGGGAACGGTGGGCACGGGCACGGGCGCGGGTGTGAGCGTGACCGGTGCTGTGGGGATGGGGCGTCAGCGAGCGAACGAAGGGCGGAGGAGGTAGCGAGAAGGAGAAAGAAGAAAGAAGAGGCAGAAAAACAGGAAGGTGCATGAGGAAGGGGGGAGGCACGGCGACTACATACGAGACGCAAGGAAGGGCAAGGAAGAGGTGGACGCAAGGAAGGAAGACACGAGCAGGGGACGGAAAAGGGGCAAAGACGTGACGAGCATAGCGGCTCTCCATGGCTGCAGAGGCGAGGAACGCGGGGAGAGGGACGGGTGAATTAATGAGGGAAGGGGAGGAAGGGACGCGGCGATGAGGCCGCAGCAGTAGGAGCTTGTAGTGAAGGAACACGTGGGGGCACGGATGAGGGATAAAGCAGTAGACGATGGCCGCGCAGGGCGTGAGGGAGACATCGATGCAGGAGGGCGGGGGCACGGGAAGGCGGGCGGGCAGGCGCGCAGAGTATGACAAGGGAATGAAGACGCCCATGAAGGAGCACGCGCCGAGGGACGGGGATGGAGAAGATGAAAATGAAAATGAGCAGCGCGGAGGCGTGGAGAATGAAGGCGACGGGGCAGCGTGCATGGACAGGAAGGTGATCAGGGGGCGGGAGGAGTAAGCGGAGGCGCAGGTGTATGTAGGGAGCGCCACGGAGAGACGTAGGCGGGGCAGGAGGCGGAGGCGGGGCAGGAGGCGGAGCGGATGGCGCGATCAAGCGAGGGCAGTACGAGAAAAGGGGACGACGTGAGGAGAAAGCGGAAGCGGAAGGGAACCGCGCGCGAAGAGGTGGGGAGAGTCGGAGAAAGACACGGGGATTGTGGGAATCGTACGCCGGCGCAGCGGGACGGGGTGCACATGCGGAGCGGAGACGCGGACAGGGAGGAAGGGATGTCGGACGGACAAGTGAAAAGAAAGAGGGGTCACAGAGAAAGAGAGATCGCAGAGAAGAGAAGGAACGAGAGCGGGATGGAGCGAGTAGCGCGGACTGCAGGAGCGAGTGGGTGGAGTAAAAGAGGCAGTGGATGAAGACGCAGCGATTGAGATATTGAGATGAGCAAAAGGAAGGGACGGGGTGGGTGCACAGGAAGGAACGGAGGATGAGGATGAGGGATGAGGGATGAGGGATACAACAGTCACGCAGAGCGAGGAGGAAGACGCCGATGCAGGAGGGCGGGCGGGCGGACGGGGAGGGGGAGGCACGAAAATGGAATGAAGGCTCGGAATGTACACGAAGAGCATGCGCCGAGGGACAGGGATGGAAAAGATGAGAATGAAAACGAGGAGCGCAGGCGACGGGGCAGTGTGCATGGACAGGGAAATAAATGATCAAGGGGCGGGAGGAAGAGGCGGAGGCAGAGACGGAGGCGGGCAGGAGGGGCAGTACAAAAAAAAAGTGGAACGGGGACGACGCAAGCGGACCCGCGCGCGAAGAGGAAGAGTCGGAAAAAGAAGACACGGGGAAAGGGGGGAATCGTACGCCGGCGCAGCGGAGGGACGGGACGGGGTGGTGCACATGCGGAGCGGACGCGGACAGGGAGGAAAGGATGAGAACGAGGACGACGCAGGGGTGTAGGTCGGACGGGTGATAATAAAGAGATGGCCGAGCGACGGAGAAGCGCGCAGAGGAAGGGAGCAAGGCGAGTGGAAGACGCAGCGCCAGAGATGAGCGCACAGGAAGGGGAAGGGACGGAGAGTGAAGACGGCAGCAGCGCAGGACGAGGCAGGGTAGGAAAGGAAAGGAAAGGTGCATGCATGTGCGAATCAAGAAACGAAGGATGTACGAGCGCGTAACGGGGGGCTTGGAGGTGGGGAGAACGAGCTCGGGCACCAAAAGACAAGGGATCGGAGAACAAGGGATACGACGACGGGGGCCATGAAGAATGCGTAGCGGGAGGGGATGAGGGCAATGAATGGTGACAGGCGGAATGGAGGGCGGCAGGAGGAACGAAGGGCGGCAGGAGGAATGGAGAGACGCAGGAGCAATGGGGATGCACGGGGGTCAAGAACAAGCACACGCGCGCGCAGGGGAGGAAGGGGGCGCGCAGGGACGCGGTAGAGGCGTCATCGCGCGCCAGGAAAGGAAGGAAGACGCGTGAAATGAAAAGCGATAAGGAGGCAAGAGAAAAGCGAAAGAAGGAAACGCGACCTACCCGACAGGACCTCGCGCCCCAACGACGGCGCGGCGCCCCCCGCACCCGCGCCCGCGGCCTCCCTCTCCCGTTCCCGCCCATCCTTCTCGCGGCGCAGCGCCTTCCGCCCGCCCCCTCCGCCCACCGCGCGCCCTCCACCTGCACCCGCACCCGCACCCGCGCGCCCCCCCGCGCCGCCCACGCCCAGCCCGAGATCCATCCCCGCCGCGAGCACCTCGTCCGCCTCGCCGCGGTACCGCGGCACGCCGTCCACGCCGACCTCCATCTTCGGCGGGCAGCGGAAGTTCCCGCGGTCCAATAAGGGCGGGGAGATGTCGAGCGACGCGAGCTCGGGGAGGGACGAGGGCGCGCGGAGGCGGCCGGACTCGACGTCGGCGATTTTGTAGTATGAGATGAGGTGCTGCGGGGTGCCGTTAAGGGTTAGGGAGAAGGTCTGCGGGAGGGGTGAGTAAACGAAGAGAAGGGAGAAGAGAAGAGAGGGAGGTAGCGGACCTTCTTCATGAGCCCGTCGGCCTTGAACTTGTAGCTGTTCGTCAGGCTCCCGACGAGCGTGCGCTCCCTTTGCCGATCCACGCCCCCAACTACCTCCGTCCTCGGCCGGCTCAGGCTCTCCCCCCCGCTCCCTCCATTCCCTCCTCCATTCCCTCCCCCCGCGCCCCCACCCGCACCCCCCTCCTCCTCCTCCGTCCCCGCCCTCCTCCGCCCATGCCCCGCCCCCCGCTTATCCGTCTCCCGATACAGCAAAAAATTCCCCAATATCCTGCTCGGGCTCCAAAAGCACCCGTCCGTCCACCTCTTAATCCCGCTCTCGTCTTCATCAAACACAAAAACGCTGCCGCTCGCGATCATGCGGCGCTCGGCGTCGACGAGGCGGCGCGTGACGCGCGGGATGAGCCCGCGGCGCGCGGCCTCGAGGATGAGGAGCGCGTCGCCCGTCGTCTCGATCCACCCGGACCAGGGCGGCTCCGTCCATGCGGGCGTGCCCGCGCCCGCGCCCGTGGCCGTCCCGGGCATCCGGGCCTGCGGGCTGGTGGGGCTGCGACTGGGTGCCACCGTGGTAAGCGTCAGAGTCCGCGCGGGGCGTCCGCCGGCTGGCTACAGGCTGCTGCTATGGCGAGCATTAGAGTTTGCACCGCCTTCCGAGCCCTCCCATCCCCTTCGTCTCGTACCTTGATCTACGTTTCTCCTTTACTGCTGCGTCGTCTCTTCTGCCTTCCCCGTCGTGTCCTATGCTGCTGGCGTCGAGCTCGCGTCCTGAGGGCCTTGCGCGCGAATCTGATCGCTCACGACCGTGCAAAGTCAAAGTGGGCGTGGCGTGCTTAGTCAGCCCGCCGATCTCTCCGCCCTCCTGATCTTTGCCTATCGGCGCGCACTCCGCGCTATCCCCGCCGCAAGCCCGCGCGAATCTATCCTGTTCCTGGCGCGCTGATACAATATGTCTGTGCTCCTGATACAATATGTCGACGCCCTTGATACAATATACCCATGCTAAGCTTGCTATCAACACTACTTGGCGCCCGGATCTTTATTCTCGCTCATCTATCCTCCTGCGTCGCTCCTTCAACTTTCCACATTCAAACGTTCAATATCATCTGACATTCAGGAGTCTACTTCTCACCCGCTGCTTACCACAGCTCCTCACCAGCGACGTGTTCATCACGACCTAATGGCGAAGCTGGCATCGCGTCCACACTTCTTATTGGATGGGGCCGAAAGTTGCAGTGGAGGTCCCCGGTTCGAACCCGGGTTAGGTCATGAGCATGCCTGCATATTCTTTTTCGTTCCCTCAGGCACTTGACATCTTTGTTCTCCTTTTAAAATTCTAACCCGCAACCGCGCACCAGCGACGTGTTCATCACGACCTAATGGTGAAGCGGGTAATATATCGCGTCCACGTTTCCTGACGCACATGACGATAGCTTTTCGGTGGAAGTCCCTGGTTCGACTCCAGGTTAGGTCATGGAATAGTCTGTTTATCTCTTTTTGAATTTTCTCCCTCAGCATCTTAATAAGAATAAACAGTTCTACTTTTAAAATTCTAGCCCGCAACCGCCCTCCACAGTGCCAACTCATCCGCCACCTGTCAGTTCAGGCTCACCCTTGTCAACGAATCTTGGTATTTGCTTCACTTGGTCGACGGCCATTCTGCGACATGTGCGAGTAATGGCGAAATGGGTGTGCCACTCCATCTTCTCACCCGGATGCCACAGGAGGACCTAATGGCGAAACGGTATCGCGTCCGCGCTTCATAGAGGTTGGTAGACCAGGTTTAGTGTCCCTGGTTCGACTCCAGGTTAGGTCATGGAAGAGTCGCCGGATTTCTTTTTGAATTTTCTCCCTCAAATAAGCCTCAGTATCTTTGTTCTACTTTCTAACCCGCAACCCCCCTCCACATCCTCGTGCCAACACGAGCAGCCTCATCCGCCAGCTGACCGTGTCCAGGCTCACCCTTGTCAACGAATCTTGGTATTTACTTCACTTGGTCGACGTCCATTCCTCAAACCGACATGTGCAAGCCCCATGGCACTCAATGTTCTCACCAGAACCCTGCACGAGGACCTAATGGCGAAACGGTATCGCGTCCGCACTTCATATATAACCATCATCCACGTTCCGCGGAAGTCCCCGGTTCGAACCCGGGTTAGGTCATGTGATGGCTCCAATATTTTTTTCTGCTCCGTTTTCCAGCTCCAGCTCCTCTCGCAATCCCGAATTCCAAACCCCCTCCGCACTTTGCGTATCAACGCGGAGTCGGAATCAGCGCGCCGACTCTCTTAGGTTAGGCGAAGCTAGCAGTCACATCCTTCCCGGTCCGCCTGGCACGCATCACAAGTAATATTTTGTCCGTTGTTCATTCAAACATGCTACTTGGACCCGCTCGCAGAGAGCCTAGGTAAGGACCTAATGGCAAAACGGTATCGCGTCCGCACTTCATGGAATGCGATTAACCAGGTTCCGCGGAAGTCCCTGGTTCGACTCCAGGTTAGGTCATTACTGTACACAATTTTTTCTTTCTTTTTCTTCTAGCTCCGCTCGTCCTCTCATCCGCAACACTAATGGAATCGTTCAAATGTTAGAATCACTTTTTCCAAATCTCAGAATCGCCTTTCGCAGTACCCGACGAGCAAGGGTAATATTTTGCTTCTCCGCGTCCTCTCTGACCGAATTACTACTCAGCCTTTTAACACACGTACAGGAGCAACGACCTAATGGTGAAACGGTATCGCGTCCGCACTTCGTATGGGTATAAATGATGTACTTCGTCGGAAGTTCCTGGTTCGATTCCAGGTGAGGTCATGGTTCTTGAATTGACAATTCCTTTCCTTTCTTTTTCCTTTCTTGTCCGACTCCACTCACCCAAATTCCCGACTCGAATCTCATCTCTCACACTCTCGTCTGAATCCGCCTTCGAACCAAGGCTGTGTCCCCAGGACAGACCACAGACACTGACCATCGGACGAAGGGGAGTGAACCTTTCCCGTTTCCCTCTGCTCTCCGTGTTGAAGTAACTCACGACAATTCACCCGACAAGACGAGGGTCAGTTTAGGGAGGTGAAGGACCAAGTGGCGGAAGGTACCGCATCTGCATTCAGTATGCGAGATATTAACCTGTTTGCGCACGAGCCATTGGAGCCATTCAATGGCTTTTCGGCCGTGCGCAAAACTGGCAGGTGAATGGCTCCACGAGCCATTAGCGAGCCATTGAGGACATTTTTTGGCGCGTGGAGCCATTCGTTGCGCACGCCCCAAAAGGCATTGAATGGCTCCAATGGCCCCTGCGCAAACATTCTAATGACAAGTCCCTGCGGAAGGTCCTGGTTCGAATCCAGGCTAGGTCGTCGGTGCAGAGTTTTTCTTCTATGTCTCTCGTGCCGGAACAAGCTCCCAGTCCTAGCCCCACGCTTCTTTCGTCTCAAACTCGCTCCAGTACCACTCGCTATTGCTCCATATACGACTCGCTATTGCTCACATAAAACAGTGATACATGGAGGTGAGCGAGATGTTTGTTTCCCTCTGGTAACTCCTGAAATTTCGCTACAGAAGCCCAGGGTTAATTGGGCAGGTATACGACCTAGTGGTGGAAGGTACCGCGTCCGCAAGCTTTAGTGCGGGTGGTTAAATAATATGGGCGGAAGGCCCTGGTTCGAATCCAGGCTAGGTCATGAAACATTTTTTTTCTATTCACTGTTCCATACAGGCCATCGCCTCGCTCTCCTGTCGACATCACTTCACGCTACGAAGTCATCATATTTCGGTTGACTCCCGGGTTCTGATGTGTAGCATAGCGCGAGGTTCCCTTTGGGAAGAATAAGACCTGATGGCGAAACGTATCGCGTCCGCCCTCTGTTGTTTAGCAGATGTCTGTCGTATGCGGAAGTCCCTGGTTCGACTCCAGGCTAGGTCATACGGAGGTTGACTGAGGATTTTTTCCTTTTCTTCTTCGTTTCCTTGTCCAGATGCCCGGCCTATTTGTAACTTGAGATCCCCTTGCACATTTATTTCTCATTTTTGATCTCTTCTCCTCCTCGGAACAGGCTTCTAGCGCTGTACTTACAACTCATAGAATGTCATCGCACGAGACAAGGGTTCATCGGGTGGGATGAGACCTAGTGGCAGAAGGTATCGGCGATCTCCGGCAAAATTTGGGTGCTGGCGAAAAAAATCTCCGCGGAAGGGCCGGTTCGAATCAAACTTGAAGCTTCTATCGCAGTACTTAGAATGTCATCGCAAGAGATGACAATTAATCCGGCGAGGATGAGACCTAGTGGCTGCAGGTATCGCTCCGGTAAAGTTTGGGTCCTGGCAAAAAAAATTCGCGGAAGGGTCTGGTTCGAATCAAGGCTATGTCGTAAACCTGGGATGTATCCTCTTGTTTTCCCCTGCACCAGTGGTTCAAGTGATCTGTCTTCACCAGCTCGGACTCCAGCGGAAGACCGGTCCATTCTTGAATAGCATAGGAACGCACGGACAGACTACAGAGGAAGGTACACATTGTGAGGATCCAGCAAAAAGCAGTGAGTGCATCGTCATGGTCAATTCACCGGGCATCTCCACAGTTCACAGCGGATTATTTTTCTCATATTGAAGAAATGCGCCTGAGCAGGGAACGGTTAGTCTCCCTAGTCAGACCATAGAGAATCTCAGAGAGAGTCAGACGGCAATGGTGGAAGCAGGAAGGAACATAAACAAATGATTTTTTTTTTTTTGGTGGGAGGTGGAAAAAGAACTTGTTTAGGGGACGGTGCCCTTCTTCAGCAACTGAGCTCTCATCACTGTGTGCGTTCGAATACAGATGGGTCGGTAGTAAACAATTGCTCGTCCCGCCAGTCCTCCGGCTTGACATACATCTTGTAGATACATTTTATTCAAGAAAGTGGGTATAAGTACCGAGAACTAGAGCTCCGTGCTACCAAGTGCCAATTCTAACTATTTACCATGCGGGCCGCGGGATTCCATCCCCCATTAATTCAAGGTTCATCCAAAGCTTCTGTATGCCGCGAAGATGGCGCTCAATCGCAGTGAGAGAAGACTCGAATGGGAGGAGATAAGATGGAAGTCCTTTGGATAGAAGAACCGCATGAGCGACGTGGTCCGGTCTCTCCACTTCGAAGAAAAATTCAGCACAATCAATACAAGACAAAATAACAATAAAAACGAACTTCGTAGCTTGTCCGCAGGAGTTGATCCTGCGAACCAGAAGAGAGGTAAATCCAGTGCGCCCACTTGGTGAACTCCTGCGAGAGCGTTTCATAGCTCCTCACAAGGCTACCAAAGCCCTTTCCTAGCGGGGAAACCGCCTTACGTCCGCTCTTCGGGTTGCAATTCGGCTGTTGAAGATGAACCTCAACTGAGGATTGGGTGCTTGATATTGTGGTGCATTCCTTAGTTAGAGCGGATGCACGTCGGACGAGCCGAGTTCCGGCCTTGAGGATCTTGGGAGAGCCGGAGTACTGCTGGGCGGCGCCGTGGACCGTCTCAAGCCCAGTCTGAATTTTCTGCGCCTGCGAAGCGTTAAATGACATTGAGGATCCAGAATCTGATACCTTACCACGGACTCCGTCCCACTCCGGTCGGGTGGGTCTTTGACATTTTGACCTGCGGGCGTGTAAGGTGCAGAGTTGAGCTTTCGATCGACCCCCTCCCAGAACTCCTTGGAATCCTTCAATCGCTGGCCGATAATCACAAAGCTGTTGTCGATCTTCTCGAGGTCGTCGTAGATCTGTTGACTCTCCGCAGTGGAGCTAACGCCTTCGCGAAAACCAGCCTTTCTTGCTGTATACCAACAATGAAAACACGGCGAATCACATATCCATTGGATGCTCACCAGCTTGCACATTCTTTTGCATGACCGCGGCAAGATCTTGTCTCCCGCCTTCAGTATACCTCGTGAGAAGGGAGTTGAATTTCTCCAGTCTTTCGATGGCTTTTGTCAGCTCCCGATTCACCAATTGACGCAATTCCCGCATCTTTTCCTTGGTATCCTGGCCAGTCAGAGATATTGCGCAGAAGGCCAAATATCCCTCCGTGAAATCTTCCATACCCTCAAGAAGATCGAGATTCAGTGTAGGAGACGTTTTTATGCTCTCTAGCAGTTCTTCTACTCGATGCTGTAGACTCGGGGTTGGGCCGGAACGGTCCGTCCATAAAAGAGATTCGAGGTTCTTGCAAGAGTTTTTGAGGTCCTTCACTTCCTCAGCGAAATCTATAACGTCTTTAGCATAATTTGGAGAGACAGAGTGGTGAAATGAAGACCTCGAGCTTAAAATTTGACACGCATGAGCACCGGCTTGATGTGGAATATGATCATAGGGACGCACGCTTCACAACCCGATCCGGATCAAAGTTTGGACCCAATCGTTTAAGATCCGCGAGCATTTGCTGTATACCCTCCTTTCCCCGATGACAAGTTGAAAGCCACGCTGAGATAGAAACGACCCCTGGTTCTACCCATGAGACTGACAAACAAAAGCCAATAAGCCGTATATCATGTTTATTTCGAACATTGTACCTCCATACGCATCGAAGACCCGTCTCAATCTTGTTATTGTCTCTGGGGCTTCACTACGTATGCTGTGGTAGAGGGCCCAAATATCTCCAGCTAAAAAGTTGGACCCCAGTTAGAACTCGAACATGTACGTGCCGGAGCGAGTGAATGGGTAGGATACCTTCAAAGCCCTTGTATATGGTTGGGAGGAGCTCTAGTAATGGTTTACGATATCCGGCTGGTAATGTTTTAGCCACCTTGTAACGATATTGCTCTGTCGATGGCGAAGGGGTGGAAGAGAGATGGTTCTGTTCCAAAGTGGAACGTGGTTCGTGGATGTCCCCTTTGACGTTTTCGAAGTTTTTGCGTTGTGACCGCATCCTCGACAATAATTCGTCCATTTCCCTGATTAAATTGTCCAAGACTTTCAAGTGAGGAGGTGCTGGAGTCCTGTGAGGGACCTGTAATGATAGGCTCTGAAGATCCATGGTGCGGAAAGTAAGGCTGTGGCCGCCGGATTGGTCGGAGTGCTGGAAGGACCGGTTTCACTTTATAGGCCCTCCGCAGTCCACAGCTTCAGCGCCACGCACCGCTTGACTGTTGTACGCCATTCTGTTGGCACTTTCTGCGCCGCACCAAAACCGCACGCCACAGCCCCCCGAAAGTCAGCTGTCCACTGACATTGATTCACAACGATGAAATTTATCCGTTACGGCTCCCCGGCCAACTTCTATTCACCTTTCCTGGTCATAAGCCAGTGTTACTCCTGCCAAATCAGGCTCGGCGCCAATATAGCTGGCACGCAAAACTTTAGGAGGGGATACGGTCGAACTGTCAGACGACCTTTCTTAACAGCAACAGCCTGACTTCTCTTCTCGTTGTTGATCGTGCGTTACTGTAATGGTTGGATGTGACATTTGCGAATAGCACTCACTTGCCTCGTGGCTGCAAACCCAGGCGACCAGTTTTTAGCTGGATAACAACACGAAAACCCAGATCGCCGTATCCTTCGTCAACTTACTGGGCGGCACGAGGCTCAGACAGGCAAAGAGCCAAGGAGGCCCAGAGGCAGCGGAGATGCGGGGCCGTGCGGCTGCGAGGCAAATATAGAGGACGTGAACGAAAGTGCAGTCGTCGATGGGGAAGATGTGATGCAGGATGAGCGATCTATTTTTTACACAGCGTACATCAATAGGCGCTACTTGCATCCGATGGCGGCATGAGCGCGAGGCAGGGGGTGGAACGATGCGCTCGGGCGTAGGGGAAGCGAACATGCGCTCGGGGCGGCTGGCATGGGCCAGAGATATGCGCAGGATTGAAACGAAAGAGCGCGAGGAGGCTCTGTTGTGATGGGGCGGAGGTGGCACACAAGAAGGGCAAGAATTATGTGTACATTTCGACCAGAGGATGGCAGTACAAGGAAGTTAGGGTGGAGAGCAGATGGTCGGCGGAAAACTAGTGTGATCTTGAGCAAGGAGAGTGCGAAACGCATGCGCATGGCAAAAGAGCGAGTGGGACACGAAGGCAACGGGAACTGCACTGTGCACATGCGGGAGCGAAAGACTGGATGACCCTGGGGTGACGGACGTGAGACGAACCGAGACGAGCGCTCCAAAGTGTACGCCAGGCAACGAAAGATGCAAGGAGATTGAGATGCAACAGACGAGCGGGGTAGTGGAGTGAGAGGAAGGTGTGTGGAGAAGGACCTCAGAAAGGTCAACAGAAAGGATAGCGGTGGGCTCACCTTCTCCGTCCGCGAGGGGCTCAAATTCTCCCCGTGCTTGCTCGTCTTGATCACGCCGGCGTTCTCGTCCGATACAAGCACGCTCCCGCTGACGAACATGCGTCGACAAGGCGAAGCATGAGCCCGCAGCGAAGGATGAGGAGCGCGTCGCTGGTGGTCTCGATCCAGCGGGACCAGAGGCTCCGTCCATGCGGGCGTGCCACTGGCAAGGCCCGCGCCCGTGCCGGGCATCCGGACCTGCGGACTGGTGGTGGGGCTGCGACTGGGTGCCGCCGTGGTAAGAGTCAGAGTCCGAGCTGTGTGTCCGCCGGCTGGCTACAGGCTGCTTCTATGGCGAGCCCCTCTTCTCCTTTTGTCTCTTGCCTTGATGTCGTTTCTTCTTACTACTGCTCGTCGTCGTGCTGGCCGTCGCCTCGGGTGTTGAGGTTCATCGCTGATGTGCGAAGTCAAAGTGGGCGTGCTTAGTCAGCCCGCGCCCTCTTTTGTCTCCTGGTCTCGGCGTGCACTCCCTGCTATCCCCGCCGCAAGTCCGCTTGAATCTATCCTGTTCCTGGCTCTCTGATACAATGTCCATGCTCTTGATACAATATATCCATGCTAAGCTTGCTATCTACACTACTTGGCGCCCGGCAAGCGCCAGGATCTTCTCGCTCATCTATCCTCCTCGGTCGCTCCTTCAACTTTCCACATTCAAACGTTCAATATCAATTCTGTCTCATCTGACACTGAGGCGAAGTACGCTACTTCTCACCCAGCTGCTTACCACGTTCATTCCCTCACCAGTGACTCGTTCATCGCTCTGCCTGTGCAGTGCAGCACGATTCGATTGAATCAGGACTGGAAGGGATTCAAGGGCGAGAGTTCGACGCGGCTAAGACGCAGCGGCATCGTACGTGCCTCGATCCGGAGTGCAAACAGATGAATCCGCGCTACAAGCAGCAGGATTCGCCTATTGGCCGCAATGATTACGCGGTAAGCACGAGGTTTTTCGAGCCGGATGAGCCGCTGTCCGCGCCGAAGGATCGAATAATACTGGCGGGTAGAACTGCTTCCACGCTCGGCAAAGAGCGGCAGAATATTTTCGTATCCATCGCCCCAGCGTGACAGCAGCAGAAAATGGTGCAGCGGCGAGAAGGTGCTAGCAGCCTGCACTGAGGGCTTCGAGGGTTTCGAGGTTGATGAGCGGATAACATCGCCAGAGCGCTCCGCTTGCAAGCGTCGACAAGGCGAGAACAGAGAAGAAGGCGCTGTAAGCGCGCGTACATTGACCATTCACCCGTGCAGGATAACGCACGCAGCCGCCGCGGCGTATGAAAGCGAGACTGGGCGGAAGGCTGTCGGCATTGCTAGTGTCGTAGTATCTTCGTTGGCAGGATCCGCGTGCGCGGTGCAGCACACTTTTGTGAACTCCGAGAGCGGGGATTAATTCCAGTGATGCTGGCCGCGCACGCAGCCTGCAGCAAAGCTCGAGGAGATGTTGCTGCAGCGGCCACTCATCGAGTCGTTTGAGCCGAGTACGAGGTTCTACCGCGCTGAGAAGCGCAGGGTGGATTGTACGGCCTCAGAAGCGCTATTAGCTCGAGGCCTCCCGCCAACTGAGTCCGCGCTCCGCATTAGCGGTGCAGCACGACTCGACGGCATCCGTAGCTGTAGGGGGTTGAGGCAGCAGATCCGGGAGCAGACGAAGCGCTCATTGAGCTGCAGCAGTACAACCGCGCAGCTCTCAACGAGCTGAGCGACGGGAGAGTTTATCGCAGCATCGTACGCGACTCAATCCTGAGCGCAAGCTTGATATTTGGGAGAACCCGCGCTACAAGCAGCAGGATCTACCCATTCGCCGCAAAGATTACGCCGCAGTGCCCCCATATTTGCTCCAGGGTTTGCCGACTGGACGAAGCAGGTTTGACGTTCTGGGTTTGGATAACGTACCAATTGAGTCGCAGCAGCGTAACCGCGCAGATCTCAATGAGGTAGAGAGAGAGGTCAAGGAAAGCACGAGGTTTTTTTCATTGAAAAGATGGAAAGCATAGGTCATAACGAGGTCGGACGCAAGTCTACGGCCTCGGAAAGGATGGAATAGTGCCTTCGTACGGCCGAAGTGAGACGGATTGGGGCTCAAGTCGTGAAGGAGGACAGTGGTGAGCGGCCCGAGTGTTCCTGCGGGAAAGGAACCACATCGTAAGTGGGTGGAGGGTCCATCGCGAGACCACCGAAGCTTGTACATCCGAGATGGGGCGCGATCTCGCCGCCGATGATGGTCATCCACTTGCGATAGCTCCGCAGAGCATGGAAGATAAAGCCGAGGTCTGTCTAGCCCCCCAGCCATGTGTGCACCCGTTCGCGGGGCAGAACTCGGGTGATGCTCGAGCAACGAGTCCGCAGCGAGGCAGCGCGCCGAAGCTGCGCCAAGACTGATAGGACAGGACAGGTTGCAAGGAGTGACGACGGAGAGCGGCGCAGAACGCAGCCAGCATCTCGACGTCGTCGCGGGGAATGGAAAAGGTGGAGATCAGGCTACTGATGGACCTGAAACACATCGAGCGGGACGTTCCGGACTTGATCGGAATGTCTCGGGTTTGCTCCGAAGGGCTCCGCGGGGCTCAGATTTCGAGCGATAAGCTTGAAAGTTGAGAAGGAGGAGGGGGAGGGAGCAATAGATAGATGTGTATGACCACCAAATCCAATTCGACTTCACAGCTCGCTGCTGAAGGCCACGGTGATGCCACCATTGTGATACGGATGTGTTCCGTGCCTTCTCGTGAGTGTGAAGTCGGGGAGAGGATGTCGCAGCTCGCGGCGGGGGCGCGGCGCAGGCATCCTCCTAGCTCGAGCGGGCGGGGGCGAGCCGCCCGCGAGATGAGTGGTGGGGAGCAGCACGCGGAATCATCCTCTGATGACGCCGCAGCGCTCCACCTTCCGTTGTAACCCTTCGGATGGCAGGAGCCAGGGAGGTAGTTAAGACACTTGCCCAGGCGATGCCATTGAGACTAGAGTACCACCGCACGTTTCATAATCAGCTCGAGTATTGTGAGATGATCATGAAGATTTGTGCCAAGGTAAAAGTATATATTTGTTTATACTCGACTGGGTTAAAGTACACTACCAAACATTACCTAATCCTGAATCCTTCGGATATGCCCGAGACGGTACTACCCCGTCACAATCACGACCTAATGGCAAAGCTGGTATCGCATCCGCACTTCATGTATAAGCATGTTCCAGAATTTTCGGCGGAAGTCCCCGGTTCGAACCCGGGCTCGGTCATCCGCAAGAGAGGCAAGATTTTTTTCTCCCTCAGCATCTTATTATTAATAAGAATAAGCACCAATATCTCTGTTCTACATCCTTTCTAACCCATAACTCCACATCCTCGTGCCAACACAAGCAGTCTCGTCAGTCCCAACTCATCTCCGTGTTCAGGCTCACCTTGTCAATGAATTTTGGTATTTGCTTTTACTCACTCGACGTCCATTCTGCGCGAAATCTTCCTCGAACCGACATGTGCGAGCCCTATGCCATTCAATCTTCTCCCCGAGGGAGACCTAATGGCGAAATGGTATCGTGTCCACACTTCATATATACGCATGGTATAATGTTTCGCGGAAGTCCCCGGTTCGAACCCGGGTTAGGTCATTCCATGGTTGACTCTCTTTTTTCTGCTCCGTGTTCCAGCTCCAGCTCCTCTCGCAAACCCGAATTCCAAACCCCCTCCGCACTTTGCGTATCAACGTGGAGTCAGGATCAGCGCACCGACTCTCGTAGGCTGGGCGAGCAGTGTGAGAATCACTGCTAGGCTACGCATGGACATTCCTCCCCGGTCCGCGCTGGGCGGCGCATCACAAGTGATATTTTGTCCGTTGTCCATTCAAACATGCTACTTAAGCCCGCTCACAAAGGTGCTAGGTAAGGACATGGCGAAACGGTATCGCGTCCGCACTTCTTAAGTCTCAATGAAGTAGTTCGGCGGAAGTCCCTGGTTCGACTCCAGGTTAGGTCATGGAGAAGTTGTTGGGAATTTTTTTCTTTTTTTCTTGCTCCACTTGGCATTAGTCCTTGTTCGGGCATCGTATCCGCAACAGTGGAATCGTTCAAATGTCAGAACCACTTTTTCCAAATCTCAAAATCACCTTTCGCAATACCCGACGAGCAAGGCTAATATTTTGCTTCTCCGTGTCCTCTCTGACCGAAATGGTACTCAGCCTTTAAACAGTAACACAGGAGCAGGGACCTAGTGGCAAAACGATATCGCGTCCGCAGTTCGTTAGAATGCTTGTCAATGAAACCACCTGGTTCGAGTCCCTGGTTCGACTCCAGGTTAGGTCATAACTTGCCCGTCAGAAACATTTTCGTTGCCTAATTTTTTTTTTTTTTGTTCCCCTCGGCCTCGCTCGCTCGTCTTTTCCTCTCACACTCAATCGCCTATTGTTCAAATGCCATCAGAAGCACCCTTTCCGACTCCCAGTCCACCAACCCACCCTGCATAATGATTCACAGCCGAGACTTCTGGGCCGGTCAATTCACCATATCTCCGTTCTCCATATCCGCTCTGACCCAAATGCTTTTAAACGGTAACAGGAGCAAGGACCTAATGGTGAAACGGTATCGCGTCCACACTTCATGGTCCCATCGTATACAGCTTCAGTGGAAGTCCCTGGTTTGACTCCAGGTTAGGTCTAGTCTCTCGTAGACAGACACTTCAACTTGAAGCTCGTACCTCGCTTGTTGAAGTCTGTTGTTTACCGCGGGGGTCCGATCGCAGTGCTCCCTTATTATGTAATTGCGGACTTTGAATTTCCTTCGGCCAAAGCCGAGAAGCCTCGGTGCAAGCTTCCTGGATGTGAAATGGCCCACAACGGGGTCGGGACCCATCTTAACATGGTACTAGAGGGCTGAGGAATATTTTAGGAAATTCTGGAGCTCTTTTCACCTCATATGAGAAAGCCCGCCCAAGATTGATTGCATAATCATATGGGTTGATCGTCGTTCGATTTCAGCGATATTTGAGGCTCCTTTCGAGATTCTGAAGAGACAGAAATGTTTGCACACCTTGTACAACCTATTCTATCTCAAAATCCTATGAAATGTCGCATTGTGAATGAGAAGGATTTCGCGCCGTTGGAAGATTACATAATAACGGAGCACTCCGATCAGACCCACGCGGTAACAAATAGACTAGGTTAGGTCATGGCTCCTAAATTGTCAAAATTTTCTTTTTCCTTCCTTGTCCGACTACCCTCACCAAAAGTCCCGGGGACTCAAATCTCATCTCTAACACACTCCTCCTTCAAACCACACCTGTTTTCCCCAGGACAGACCACAGACACTGACCATCGGACGAAGGGGAGTGGACTTTCCCGTTTCCCTCTGCTCTCCGTGTTGAAGCAACTCACAAAAAATCACCCGACAAGGCGAGGGTCAGTTTAGGGAGGTGAAGGACCAAGTGGCGGAAGGTACCGCATCTGCATTCAGTATGCGAGATATTAACCTGTTTGCGCACGAGCCATTGGAGCCATTCAATGGCTTTTCGGCCGTGCGCAAAACTGGCAGGTGAATGGCTCCACGAGCCATTAGCGAGCCATTGAGGACATTTTTTGGCGCGTGGAGCCATTCGTTGCGCACGCCCCAAAAGGCATTGAATGGCTCCAATGGCCCCTGCGCAAACATTCTAATGACAAGTCCCTGCGGAAGGTCCTGGTTCGAATCCAGGCTAGGTCGTCGGTGCAGAGTTTTTCTTCTATGTCTCTCGTGCCGGAACAAGCTCCCAGTCCTAGCCCCACGCTTCTTTCGTCTCAAACTCGCTCCAGTACCACTCGCTATTGCTCCATATACGACTCGCTATTGCTCACATAAAACAGTGATACATGGAGGTGAGCGAGATGTTTGTTTCCCTCTGGTAACTCCTGAAATTTCGCTACAGAAGCCCAGGGTTAATTGGGCAGGTATACGACCTAGTGGTGGAAGGTACCACCTCCGCGAGCTTTAGTGCGGGTGGTTAAATCATATGCGCGGAAGGCCCTGGTTCGAATCCAGGCTAGGTCACACTGGAAGCCTTTTCATTGTTTTTCTGTTCACTGTTCCATACAGGCCATCGCTTCGCTATCCTGTCGAAATCATTTCACGCGCTATGAAGTCATATTTCTGTTGGCTCTCGGGTTCTGATGTGTAGCATACACTTTGGGAAGAATAAGACCTGGTGGCGAAAGGTATCGCGTCCGCCGTCTGTTGTTTAGCAGATATCTGTCGTATGCGGAAGTCCCTGGTTCGACTCCAAGCTAGGTCATACGGAGGTTGATCGAGGATTTTTTTCTTTTTTTCTTCGTTTCCTTGTCCGGATGCTTTGCGCAAGTGAACTTGAAATCCCCTTGCACATTTATTTCTCATTTTTGACCTCTCTTCTCCTCCTCGGAACAAGCTTCTATCGCTGTAATTCCAATTCATAGAATGTCATCGCACGAGGCGAGGGTTAATATGGTGGGGACGAGACCTAGCGGCGGACGGTATCGACGATCTCCGGCAAAATTGGGTGCTGGCGAAAAAAATCTCCGCGGAAGGGCAGGTTCGAATCAAAGCTTCTATCGCAGTGCTTAGAATGTCATCGCACGAGATGTCGATTAATCCGGTGAGGATGAGACCTAGTGGTTGAAGGTATCGCTCCGGTAAAATTTGGGTCCTGTTCGGACTCAGGCGGAAGACCGGAGATGCCTCCGGCACATATTAATAGAAGAAAGATGCGGCCATGGTTCTTGAACGCGAACAGGCCACTGTCGGGTTAAGCCTTAGAACGTGGTTGTGTCCACTGTTCGTTCCGCCAGTCCTCCGGCTTGATGTTCATCTTGGAAATAGATTTTATTCGACGAGAAAGTGGGTATAAGTACTAGAGCTCCGCGCTACCAAAGTGCCCAGTCTAATTATCTACCACGCGGGCCGCGGGATTCCATCCCCCATTAATTCAAGGTTCATCCAAAGCTTCTGGATGCCGCGAAGATGGCGCTCAATCGCAGTGAGAGAAGACTCGAATGGGAGGAGATAAGATGGAAGTCCTTTGGATAGAAGAACCGCATGAGCGACGTGGTCCGGTCTCTCCACTTCGATGAAAAATTCAGCATAATCAACACAAGACAAAATAACAAAAAAAAAACGAACTTCGTAGCTTGTCCGCAGGAGTTGATCCTGCGAACCAGAAGAGGAGGTAAATCCAGTGCGCCCACTTGGTGAACTCCTGCGAGAGCGTTTCATAGCTCCTCACAAGGCTACCAAAGCCCTTTCCTAGCGGGGAAACCGCCTTACGTCCGCTCTTCGGGTTGCAATTCGGCTGTTGAAGATGAACCTCAACTGAGGATTGGGTGCTTGATATTGTGGTGCATTCCTTAGTTAGAGCGGATGCACGTCGGACGAGCCGAGTTCCGGCCTTGAGGATCTTGGGAGAGCCGGAGTACTGCTGGGCGGCGCCGTGGACCGTCTCAAGCCCAGTCTGAATTTTCTGCGCCTGCGAAGCGTTAAATGAGATTGAGGATCCAGAGTGTGATACCTTACCACGGACTCCGTCCTACTCCCGTCGGGCGGGTCTTTGATATTTTGACCTGCGAGCGTGTACGGTGCAGAGTTGAGTTTTCGATCGACCCCCTCCCAAAACTCCTTGGAATCCTTCAATTGCTGGCCGATAATCGCAAAGCCGTTGTCGAGCTTCTCGAGGTCGTCGTAGATCGTGGAGTGAGAGGAAGGTGTGTGGAGAAGGACCTCAGAAAGGTCAACAGAAACGATAGCGGTGAGCTCACCTTCTCCGTCCGCGAGGGACTCAAACTCTCCCCCGGCGTTCTCGTCCGATACAAGCGCGCTCCCGCTGACGAGCATGCGCCGATGACGTGAAGCGTGAGCCCGCAGCGAAGGATGAGGAGCGCGTCGCCGGTGGTCTCGATCCAGCCGGACCAGGGGGCTCCGTTCATGCGGGCGTGCCAGGGCCCGCGCCCGCGCCGGGCATCCGGACCTGCGGGCTGGTGGTGGGGCTGCGCCTGGGTGCCGCCGTGGGGAAAGTCCGAGGTGTATGTCCACCGGCTGCTACAGGCTGCTTCTTAGACCGGTGACCGTCTGTCTATGAGAACTGTCGATTGGGTTCCAACATTGATTTGAATCCGCTTGTCCTTTGTACGTCTTCCATGTACTATCTTTGTGCTCGGGCTCAAGTGTGTCCTTATCCAGTCGGAAGTTCATTATTCCGTTATCATTGCCTGACACAGTACACGTAGTAAATCTGTTTCATGCAGTTGAGGGTATCAAAGCCTCTTGCAAGAAGCTTCACTACTTGCTACGGACAGGTCGTTCCCCCCCAGCTCTACGGACTCGAATAGAAAACCTCCTGGAAGCATGGAAACATCTCCTGCGATGGATCTCGACCTTCTTGGAAGTCTAGATGCGCTTTGGTGCTGAAATCGTGACCGGGCTGATGAGGGGGTGGCGAGAGCTCGAGGCGCCGGCGTCGTTCGAGGGGCGGTCGAGGTTGAGCGAGGCGGCCAGACCGTTGGCCATGTCCCTGGCAAAGGCTGGGTCGTCGAGCATAGCCTGCGCATCTTCGCGAGAGACAAAGGCAGTCGTGTTGTCGGGCTCAGTTTCCGGCTCTGGGGTACTGTCTCTAGGACGCACAAGTCCGAGATAAGCCCCAAGAGCCGTCGCACCTGCACCAAGTAGTTGTATCGCAGCAGGGGCCACTGCGATGCCACCCGCGGCGGCAGCTTGCGCCCAAGCAAAGAGTGATCCGGCCGCAACATTGCCAATTGCGGCCTGGATTGCTGCTGCCAGGGTGCCTGTAAAAAGTTATGGTTAGTGAAAGTCCAGTGGAAGGATTTTCAGGGAGAGCACTCACCGGCACCGACTCCCGCGGCGCCGAATCCGATTAAATTTAAGATCCCAACCAATATGGCGGGTCCGACGACGATTCCGCCCAAGGCCATGAGTCCGAAGCCAGCGGCACGAACCGCAAATGGGTGTCTTTGCAGCAACTCACGAAGAACAGTCGTGGCAGTGGTGATCCCGTGTGAGGCAATAAGTTCAAGGGCGACGGCGCGAGCTGCAACTGGATGCCTTTGCAGCCAGCCTTGAAGAACCGCTGCATTGGTAGCGATGCTGACTTGTGACATGGGGGAAGATGAGGGGCGAGAGTAGTGTGCTCGAGGCCACCCCTTTGTTTATGTAGGAGAACATGCGAAGGCCTCGTGTAGGTCGCCGCACTATTTTAAAGATTTATAAAATTATGCTCGTCCGTAAGAAGCTTTTAAAAGTCTAGCTCCGGCCGTGCCACTCTGCCGGCGGTGATTATGCCGCACTGAATCATTCGACTCCTTCAAATCCTCCCATCCTCGTTCCACGCTGGTCATACGGTCCGATGTCAAAGATTGGACTGTGTACACCTTTGCCGAGTCAGAATCGCCTGCAGCACGCATGCATGCTGTGTGCACTCGTCCTGCTGTGCCGCGGTCAAGAGGTGATTGATCTCTGGATCATGGACTCCTTCCCACGACCCCCCCAGAAAAGGCAACCCGCATCAATTTCATCGACGGCTCATCCGAGTCAGTTGTGTTGCATTGCCGCGCTCCTCAATGTGTCGCGCACTCACTGTGTCCCCAATATGCTTTGAATGCTTAGTAGCTTACTTCTCAACTCATTTTGAAACATAAAACTGCATACGGTGCATAATCTATTTACATAATCCAGTTACTTTCGTGAGTTCTTCGTAAAATGTAGGTTTCTAGCCGCTGATAGAAAGTATTTGTGGCAGTAAATTGGGGCTCATATAAGATGGAGATGAGCAAGAGTTAGAGCAAGAGGTGCCGAACCCGAAATGCCGAATGCTGCCGTTCTCGCTTCGCGGACAATCAGGTTTCGAGGGAGGGGTAGGAGCGGCGGCCGTGGTGCACAATGCGGGTATGTCGGGCGCAGGAGGTGTCGGCGCGGCTGGAGTGGGGACCGCGCACTGTGCGCGTGTCTCGGGCGCAGTGGATGTTCGCGCGGCAGGGGCTGTTACGGGCGCGGGCGGGGACGCAGAAGTCGGCGTCGCGGCGGTTACGGGCGCGGGCAGGGACGCAGATGGTGGCGTCGTGGATGGGACCGCATGCGGGCGTGTCTCGGGCGCAAGTGGAAGTTGCGCGGCAGGAGGGGGGCCCGCGCATTGTGCACGGGCCCCGGGCGCAGCGGGTGTTAGCGCGGCAGGAGCAGTTACGGGCGCGGGCAGGGACGCAGACGGCGGCGTCGCGGCGGTTATGGGCGCGGGCAGGGACGCAGACGAAGGCGTCGCGGGGGCTTCGAACTCGGGACTGGGCGGAGGCAGAGTCGGAGATGAAGAGGGGGCCCTGGGACGGAGGGAAGACGACGGGACTGCGGCGGGGATTGGGGAAGAGGCGGGAGCGAGGGAACCACGGGTCGAGGAGCGGGAAGCCGTTCTGGATGCGCCAGCCCCCAGCGGCGTATTCAGAACACTCCATCTGGGCGCGGCGGACGAGCATACGGTGTTCGAGGCGGAGGTAACGGGCACAATACTGGCACTCGATATCATCAAGGCGACACCGAGGCTAACCAGCGCAGACATCTTCATCGACTGCCAGCCCGCCATCGCCGCTATCGCCTCCCCTAAATCCCAGCCTGGACAATACCTCCTCGCCGCCTTCCACACCCACCTCCGCCGCCTACATCGCGCGCGCTCCACCCTCCGCGTCCGAATCCACTGGGTCCCGGCACACGTCGGAATCGACGGCAACGAGGCGGTCGACGCGCGCACGAAGGAAGCGGCCCTAGGAGCAACCACGCCGCTCACGATGCCCATCCGTGAGCTCCGAGGCACCCTCCCTCTGAGCAGAGCGGCCGCGATCGCAGCCGGTGCGCATACATTCCGCGCGCGCTGACTAGCTGAATTGTCCACCTCCCCACGCTACACCCGTCTCTCGCTCTTCGACTCGGCCAAACCATCCAGTGCCGTCTCGAAGATGTACGACGACCTCAGCCGCCCACACTGCAGCATCCTAACGCAGCTCCGCACCGCTCACATTGGCCTC